GATAGAGATAGAGACAGAGATAAAGATCGAGATGGAGATAGAGACAGGGGTAGAGAGAGCGAGAGACAGAGAGCGAGAGCGAGAGGGGGAGTGAGCGAGCGAGCGAGCGACAGCGAGAGCGAGCGAGCGAGAGCGCGAGAGCGAGCGAGCGAGAGCGATCGAGCGAGAGCGCGAGAGGGAGAGCGAGACGGAGAGCGACAGGACAGCAAGAGCTAGAGCGAGAGCGAGACAGAGAGCGACAGGACAGCAAGAGCTAGCGCGAGAGCGAGCGAGAGCACCGAGAGCGACGGGACAGCAAGAGCTAGAGCGAGAGCGACCGAGAGCGAGCGAGAGCGAGACGGAGAGCGACAGGACAGCAAGAGCTAGAGCGAGAGCGAGCGAGAGCGAGACGGATACCTACAGGACAGCAAGAGCTAGCGCGAGAGCGAGCGAGAGCGAGCGAGAGCGAGCGAGAGCGAGAGCACGAGAGCGAGAGCGAGACGGAGAGCGACAGGACAGCAAGAGCTAAAGCGAGAGCGTGTGGAAAAGGTCCCCAAATGTCCTCAAGGATGCCAACGCTTCTCGGAGGCTCGCCCCTGCTGCCACAACAGCGAAGATCATGAAGAGATGCTGCAAGTTTTGCACCGATAGCGCCACACCTGAACACACCACGACTGCTGCTTGCAATCCTTTCCTAGAAAACCGGCGGCAAGTCTGCATATCTTCTTCCTTGCGTGGCCAGTGGCAACTTGAAACCGTCAAGGGGTTCAGGAGATAGAACAAGCCTTAGCCATGCATCCTGAACAGAACCTGGCCTACACACGCTGCTGAGAAGGCTCGAACCAACAAAGGCCGGACTGATGACATCCTGTCGTTGAGATGACAGGCTGATGTCCAGCATGCACAAACACTTTTCACATCCAGTCCTCCAGACCTTCTGCAACTTGGATCGCGGGAAGGTTCGTGCCGCTGGCGACCAAAGTCAACGATCTGAGAATGTACAGCACAAGCTCTGGAACTGAAGTCTGCGCAAACCGGGTGTCGTGGCTACACAAGATGTTGATGACGTTTTCTCGGTGCTTGCTCTCGATCTAATGGTTTTGTCTTTGACTTGTGGATGCGTGCGCCTTTGGCGTGTCAGAGCAAACCACAAACAAGATTGAGGCGCGTTACAGTTGCTTGACTGTCACTGCTGCCACCGTTAGCATCATGTGTTGGATTTGTGAAAAAGAATCGACATCTCTGCCGACCCAAGCCTTTAGGCACCGGAACTGGATATTGTACACGGAGGGTGAGAACCAATACGTCTCGAAATGTCACAGTGTTTAATGCGTGAGCAAGGAATCATATCCGAAATGTAGCATCTTAGAGACGCACGCTGCCGAAACGATTGTTGCTGCTGTGCTTGTCACAAGCATTGCAGCGAAAGTAAAGGCTATCAGTGGCGGACTACTGCTTCGAATAGATCAACCCCAAAGACACGATCTCAGCCATGTCTCTCGTCTGCACGATTCGAAGGTGCCGCTCAAACCTCTTTGCATCGTCTTTGTTCGTGATGTTCAGAATGTTTGTCTGCGTCGCCGTGCCCCAACATGCTGTTCATGGTCACGATATCGTCCTTGATTCCCGCAAGCTCCTGATGCACAAAACTGTGAAACCGATCTGCAGCCTGTATGATCCATGCTTGGTCCTGCAAAATCTTGACCACATCGATTGCTGTTGCATGCCCACGCAACCGCAAACATCCCATTAAAAACTCTTCGACCTCCACGGACCCGCCAGCGTCTTGGTCTAGAAGCTTAAAAAAAGACCAGGCATCCCAAACGTCCAAACCCAATGTTTGAAAATATTGCTGCACCGCAGGCGACTTCAACTTCTCTTCGAACCTCAGTCAACTTCGAGCAGAGTCGTGCGCCCAGGCTTGCGACAAAAACGCTTCCTATGAGACTTCTCATTTCTACATACAAAAAATGCAAGGAACATCTCGTATGTGATTGCCCCCGTGCTCTCACTACCCAGCTGATTGAACAGCGCATTGATTTTTTGCAAGTGGGATTGCTTGTCGTCCAGAATATTCTGCACCATCATCGCTTGGTCGCTTTGCGCACTGTCCTTGGAGCCATGATTTGGGCTTCGACTTGCAACACATGATGAGCGACCATATGTTGCACTTTGAAAAACTTCCAACGCAGCTTGCAACACGGCGGTCGCATAATGATAGCTTGGGCACAATCGCTGACTGGCAAAAGACTCCAGTAACGACGTTGAGCCTCGGCGCAAGCACCCACAACATGCAAAGCACAACCGAAAAAATTCCAACAAACCTACGAGCCCCATACCATGCAACAAAACAAACATCAACAAACTGTCACCTTGTCGCCCAAGCCGTAAAGGAAAACAGGGATGGCAGAACACGAATCTCCTGAGGCTGCATGCCTATGTAAGCATGGAATATTAACTCTAACATGAATCCAAATAATACAACTAGAAACAGTAGGTAACATCACAAACAATAAGAGGAACATGGCAAAGAAAATGCACCGGTGCTCAACGTAAATTTCCTTTTTGGGGTTTTTGCTTGACGTCATTTCCACCTATGTTATTTCAAGTTTTGCTTTCTGTCGTTTCTATTGTTGGTAGCCATTCCATATATCTGTCTATGTAAGCTAACTTCTGGTCCTCGGGCTCGACAAGAGAATCAACGATAGAAACATACCAATTAAGACCAAACCAAAAATGAATTGAGGACAAAACTGATATAAAACGAAACCAGCGTGGAGAGTGGCACCTGGGCGACGCCCAGCTTCTGTCTTCATGTTCCTTCCTATGTCCCCTTGTTTTGCCACGTCAACGCCGTCCAGGCTTAAAAAGGATCCAGCCTCACACACCTTCAGAAGGGGCCAACATGGCCAACATGTGATGAGGAGCCGGGCAGTTGCTACGGCTGTCTCTTCGTTCAAGCTTGCCAGCAAAGATTTTCATGCCACCTTCCCCCCGAGCCTAGCAGTCGATGGGGCTGGAGTCTATCAGGGTGGGTGTGGACCTCGGACCCGGTGCTAAGGGAATTGGCCGGTCCCCTGCCAGGGCGACAGATGCAGCACGACGAGGAGGCAAAACAACTAACAGACATACATGTATTGATGCAGGACGAGCACATCTGCTCTGCACGTACGCAGTATACTACCGGCCCAAAAAAATGCATACCCTCGGTCAAGTCCTGGGACCCCAACGAACAAATGGCACATCGACATCCGTCTTCGATATGTCTCGGACTTTCAAAACAATGTGGCCATACGAGCATGATTGCCCGCCACAAGGGCGGCTGCCTTTTTCACACACTGCTTTTTCATCTTTTTTTTGCAGACAGCCCTTGTTGTTCCGGCCACTGGGACGCGTTCTGCAAGAGCCTGTTGCCGAGAGGTTTCCTGCTGCTTCTTTCGCATCGCCTCTTTGAACTTGTCAGAGAGGCTCTTAGTGCTTGAAAGACCAACTACCTCTACCTCTGGGCTCTTCGCCAAGAATCTGGCTTTCTCGTCAGGCTTTCTGCGCGAGACTCGGGGGGCAACTTCAGAAAGCCGCTCTCCGAGCAGTCCCAGCGAAGAGTGGGTGGCAAAGAGTCCATGTCGCAGAAGTAGTCCTATTCCTGAACGGCGACATCATATGAGAGTTTGGGGCCTCAGGGCTCCACTATTTCACTAGCTTGGAGAAAAGGCGCAGAGTTCTTGTCGCCGTGAGAAACATCCCAGTCCAAGAGCTCCTGGGCGGCAGCAGTGGCCGGAAAGAGAAACCGGCCAGCCTCCTGCAACCAAGAGAAATTTGGTTCCAGCCCGTGAAAACGAAGTCTGGCAAAGCCCGGCGGCATCTCCTTGAAAAAGGGCGTGCAGAGTTCCGCCTCCTGCAACTTGCCAGAGAAAGGGCGGTAGGCAAGCATGCCATTCTGCCGGAAGCCTGCCAGCACCCACTGAGAGGCATCCGCCGAGAGGTTCTTGCGGCGAAGAGACGACGGTCTCGGCGATGTCATCGATAAAAGCCGCCCAGATGTCGCTCTTGCCAGCATCTTTGATGGCTTTCTGACGCAGACCCAGAGACCTCTTCTGCGCCATGGTGCTGCGGCAGAGAGATTGAAGCGCCGACTAAAGTCTTCGCATGGCTGTAGGCTTTAGGATAGAGCCGAGTCCTTTTTAATTACCTAGGTAGTTGCAAGACAAAGAGCGACAGCCAAGCACTTGGATTTTTCGAGAGTCAAGAGGCGGTGTCGGTGAGTTGGAGGGATGCCGTCTTTTGGGAACGATCAGAGTCTGGATCGTGTTCCCCAGGAAGTGGGCCTGAGAGATTGTATCGCTGAAAAAAGGCTCCCAGACAGTCTCGCTGGACGAGGAAACACCGAGTGATGTGCTCGAAGAAGCGCGGCTTCTTGGCTCCATGATCCTTCCTTCAAGAGGTGCCCTTCTTCCGAGAGACCGTCTTTCCTGTCTGTCCTCTCCACCCGAAGCCCTCGTCAGAAAGCCATTTTCCTTCCTCGGAGATGTTAGAGAGCCGACAGTGAGGCTCGGCCGTGATGATGAGGCCTTTGTAGAGCAGACCTCTCGGCCCGCCATCAAAGTTGTAGCCCAGCACGAGCTGTCGAGCTTCGTACTAGTAAGTGAGGCGCAAGCGGTCAGAGAGAGGTTCCTGCCGCCAGCGATGGATTTGTATCAATTAAAGAAGCAACAACAGATCAAAGTAAAGAGTGCTCAACGTTCATTCATGAATGTCCTTGTGAGAGCGAAGCTGCTTCTGGCTGTGGGCGTCGGCAGACTCTGGTTGCTGCACAGCCAAAGCAGTGCCCACTTTCGCCTTCCCGGAGAGCTGCTTGTCGTGGAAAGCTGGAAAGCTTTCAAACCAGAGAACTTGTGTGGCTGCTTGGAGAGTTTGTTTTGAGAGGTTTTCTTCAAGAAACTGCGTTGCTGCCGCAGAGTTCGCACTTTCTTCTTCAAGAGATCGAACTTTCTCGCAAAGTGCGAAACGAACTCTCCTTCGGCCGAGAACCGAGACAGAGCCAGAGCCTGCTCCATCTCCTGTGCGAAAGCTGCAAGACAGCCACAGGGATGCCTGTTCTGCGAGAGGTAGAGCCTCTTCGGGACGGCCGCTGTAAGATGCCGTAACAGCGCTAAGAGCGCTTCTTGCACCGCAGAGTGGCTTCCTGAATTACGAAAGCTTCGTTGGGAGCCTTCTGCTCGACAGCCTGCTCCGCTGCTACTCGAGAGATGAGCTCCTTCATCTGTCGAAAAAAAAGGTCTGCCGACGTTTCCCCCAGTTCCCGGAGAGAGCCGTGCAGGCGTCTGAGCATCTGGGTGAGAGGACTGGAAGAACCGCCGAAGAGAAGCTTGCAGGCCTGACGACAGGAAGAGAAGGCCAGGGATTCGGAAAGCAAACAAACGAAAGCAAACTTTAGAAGCCAAGCCCTTCATTGGGAAAGCTTTGGATTAAGCAGGACAACAAGCTTTAGAAGCCAAGCCCTTGATTGGGAAAGATTTGGATTCGAAAGGACAGCCAGCTTTAGAAGCCAAACCCCTTGATTGGGAAATCTTTGCTTTACAAGCCACGGAACTCCGAAACCGCAGATTTAGAGGATCTCAGAAGCCATGCTGTACTTACGAAAGCTCCTTATTCCGGCAACAAAAAATCGCTTCCATCCTGATGGAGTGCTAGCAAATGCCGTGCTTCCGAATTAAAAAAACCCCTCAACCATCAAACTTCTGCTGGGGGGACTTCTGGTGGTGCCTGCAGAAGCCAACCAAAGGAAAGCTAACGTTAGAAGCCAAGCCCTTCATTGGGAAAGCTTTGGATTAAGCAGGACAACAAGCTTTAGAAGCCAAGCCCTTGATTGGGAAAGATTTGGATTCGAAAGGACAGCCAGCTTTAGAAACCAAACCCCTTGATTGGGAAATCTTTTCTTTACAAGCCACGGAACTCCGAAACCGCAGATTTAGAGGATCTCAGAAGCCATGCTGTCCTTACGAAAGCTCCTTATTCCGGCAACAAAAAATCGCTTCCATCCTGATGGAGTGCTAGCAAATGCCGTGCTTCCGAATTAAAAAAACCCCTCAACCATCAAACTTCTGCTGGGGGGGACTTCTGGTGGTGCCTGCAGAAGCCAGGAAAATTGAAAAGGAAAGCAAACTTTAGAAGCCAAGCCCTTCATTGGGAAAGCTTTGGATTCAAATGGACAGCAAGCTTTGAAAGCCAGGCCCTTCATTGGGAAAGTTTGGTTTTAGAAGCCAAACCCTTCAATTGCGAAAGTTTGGATTCGAAAGGACAGCAAACTTTCGAAGCTACGACCGTTCCAGTATTGCAGAGAGAGAGAGAGAGACAAGCTGCGACCCTTCCAGCATTGCAGAGAGAGAAAAGATTGCCTGGGTTGCCTAAGAAGCAGGCTCAGAGGCAACGAAAGCTCCTCCCACACCGAGGGAAGAGCGAACGGCATCCGGTGCCGCCTCCTCGTCCGAAGAGATCTCCGTGCTCAGAGTCAGAGTGTGTCTGAGAAGGTGGCGAAAAATAACGGGAACCATGGTTCCCAAGTTGGCCTCTCCTTTGGCCTTTGTATCGTTTGCTAATCTTGCGTTTCTGGGCTCGAGGGACACTCCGTCAGCAAGGCCGAACTTTGCCCGAATCCATTCCAACGCACGCGTATCTCCTGCAAGGCTTACCAAAAAGATAAACGTGAATGGACAGCCGGAGTGATAAGAAAGAGAAAGCACACAGCGCAAAAGCCGAAAGACGAGCTGATCACACCACAAAGCTTTCCGGGAAACGTTCATGCACACGGCTGTCTGTGGATCTCAAAACAAAAGCTGTTCTCATACGGCGGAAAAACATGGGATGCGCGAGTCTGATTGCTCCTCATGCACGGTGCCGCATGAATCTTCTGAGTGGCCCGCCATTCCCTGCTACCGCCTGGAGTTTAAACACCCCTTGTCAACAGGCATCCATGAACGAGTGCTTCCCCGTCTCGGCAAGCGCTGTATACCAGCTTTGGGTTTGAATGGGCCGTCTTTTCTTGTCGGGAGGCTGCCTGATACTGGCTCAAGGACCCTCTGGCAGCAAGTAAGTGCAGATCATCACTGAACGGTCCTCGGTTGGCCTATGCTAGGACAAAACAAGACTAATCCAATAAGACTCTGATTGATGACTCCGTCCAAAAGTACAAGTGAGTCCAAGCAATGGGCAAGGAAAGAACCACGACAAGTCAACTCCTCCAACAACTGGCGGCATCTCTACGAGCATGCAACCAAGAAAGACAAGAATGCTCAAAAAGCAAGTTGCACGGCAAGATATGTGAAAGAGATATAGAAGACGAATACCATGACCCACATGGGAGAGATAAGCTTCAGCGGCACGATCACCTCTTCCCAGCTCACGCCACCAACAATTGACATAAACAGGCTCAACATTGTGTTGGAAAGGTCGCCGAAATACTTCTCGCTGGCAATCTCTAGCTGCTCTCTGTCATCAACCGGCACGTCGTCGAGGCGATAATCGTTGATCGCCTGTGCAAAGAGTATGGCAAAAACATACACAATAAGCGTCAACAGCATCAGAGCCCAAAATAGCGATTTCATCGTTGAGAAAATTGAGGTGATGAGCGTTCTCAGCGCCAGCACGAAGCGGAAGAGGCGGATGACACGGACGGTCTTCAGAATCCGTGTAAGTCGGATGATCCTGGCAGCTTTGAGACTGGAGATCCCGTTTATGCTGCCCACATCGCTCTCAACCACTTCCTGCAGAATACCCGCAACAACTTCCCAAAGTGAAGTCATCACAATAAATATGTCCAGCACACTCCACATCCAATCCTCCGAAAAGAGGAAACCCTTTCCGTGTGCCACGACACGCAAAAGTAGCTCCGCTGCGAACAAGAACGTGTACAGGTATTGTATGATGCGCAAGCTCAGCAGCTCGTCACCATCACTGCCAGTCAACGTCAACTGGAGGTCGATGCCGAGAAAGGCCGCGTTCGTCAGCACAACTATGCCGAAAAAGATGTCGAAGCCCGGATGCTCGACAAGACGTTTTACAGTCAGACCGCGAGATGCTGCTTGCGCTTGCTTGGTGATTTCTGCAAACTGCCTTCTCGAAACCGTGCCGGACTGTGTGTCGGCCCCCTCCCTGAGCTGCATGTCAAAGCTCGTGTAGGTGCAGTAGGGATCCGAACTGCTGTTGCGACTCTCAGTGGCATTCTGTGCACTGGATTGTGAAGATTCATCGCGCCTTGAGGATGACATGGAAGGGACTGACCCCACACCCTGCGGCTCAAACAAGACAGGCATCGATGGCACCATTGGATGTGCTCTCCGTAACAGAGAATGATGCTCCTCCAGCTTTTGCATGACCTCTTGGTGCAGTCGATTGACCAAAGTTTCCAGCGCAGCATGTCCAGAATCTTTTGTCGCATCAAGATCACCATGCGACGACATCATCGCATCCTTGCCGGGGCGTGAATCTTGCGCTTGTACTCAAAGCTTCAAGGCGAGCGCCTATCGTCCCGAATCAATGCAACAACTAGGGCATTTGTGTGCCCCTGCCCTCATGCTGCATCTTCGGTATCCTAAAACTATACACTGTTCTTTCGTGCAATGTGACCTGTAGTGTATCAAACAATAAGAATTCAAGAAAAGTACAGCTACCACGGGCACCACCACGCCTCTTTCACACCCCTCGCCGAAGGAAGCGTGATACTGTGCGGACTGTGTGGAGGGTACAACGCCATGGCATCAACACAAAAAAACACACTTGACTAAAGCTGCTTCGATAGTTCAACAAAAGTCTTCTGACGTTGAAACGAAGACTTGCAGCGGGCGATAACTCAGACAGCGTTGGACATGCAAACCTAGGCATGGAGCAACCTGTTGAACCATATCGCGAAGGAATTGCAACACGTCGGCAAAAGCGCAGGCCATTGACTCCGCGACTGCCCTGTGGGCCCGACGCATCTGACCAAGGCCTTCCAGCTTGTCGCCGAGCTTGGTGATAGCGAAGAGCTAGCTGCCGTAAAAGCAATGCTGTGACCTGAGCTCGGGTCCAGTTGAAGGTGTCTGGATGAGCTTGGAACGAGAGCCGCACCACGTCGACAGAGATCAGGAAGCCGAAATGTGCCCAGGGGGATATCTCCGGCTCCGCAGCTACGACAGCTACGATCTTCTCATCTTCAGATCTAAGCACGGGCCTGCTCCAGCATCTGGAGAAACAGCAAGAGCAGGGGGGGATGATGGCCTTGCGCAGTGAAATTTCAGCCGGCTCCTTGCTCGGACCCGTGTTCTGAGAGGCAAGCAAGTGTCCCCTGCATAAGGCGAGATGCCGTTTTTCAGGAAGAAGAGGCCCTCCTTCAACCTCGCGATCCCCGCAAGCAAAATGTGCAAAAGCTGAAAGTTCAACAACCGGCAGGCCTGACGTGGGATGTTATGGGGCTGTTGACTTCCAAATGTTCTTCCAGCATTTGCGAAGCATTGGCCTCACATCGTGCAGCCCAACATGGATCACTCATGCATGCATGCTTCGCCAAAGTGCCGAAGCTCTCTATGCATCACATTATTTATACAGGTGGTTCAGATGGAGTGGAGTGGACGGGACAGACGACCGCGATCCGAAGTTCTGGACTCGACAAACAAGGACATCACCTGCAGCCCAAAGGCTTAAGCCTGGGTACAAGATGCTCAGGCATGCACGGACCTAACAATCTAGACGTACTCATTTCCATTTCGTTCATTATCGCTTCGGCTATCACTTGGGCGTCTTAATCTTATAATGTGTATATGTATCATTGGTCTCCTCGTCCCTGATTCCGTCATCATTGTGTTGATCATTTCCGGCTTCGTTCTTTGCGCTGTTTTCTTCATACTTGATAACGTCATCATTGTGCGACCATGTCCGGCTTCGTTTCTTTCGGATTGCGTGCTTCAGGCACGAGCCAGGCATCATCCGACAGCAGCTGCATCAGCTCAGCGCGGCTGTCACAGTTGTCACCGCACAAATCAGGGCGAACCGGGACACATCCCGACAGCTGTCCCATCAGCTCAAGAACACACACTCTAGCTCGGGATCCAACCCGACATTAGCATCATCGGTTCCTGCCCAGTTCCGGTCAGCCTGCAAGTTATCCAGGAGGGTCTGCGTGGTCACCTTTGGCGAACTAGCAGCGCGATAGGTACTACAAGCCCGCTTGTGGGGTGTTAGCTCTCGTCCTGGAGAGAAAAAAATCCAGATTGCAATAGTGGCTTGGCCAGCTAGTTGGTGTTGCAAGCCGTCCGGGTGCCTGCATGTCCCCTCCCATGCCCTGAGACATCGTGTTCTGGTTCGCGGATCGACGTCCGGTGTCGTCGCTTACAACTTGCCGCATGGTGCGACTATGAGCAAGTCTCACTGCGCGGAAATATGGCGGAAGCTAGTGGAGTGCTAGTGCGATGATGACGCAAGAAGAGCTTCCTCCAAGGACTTGTCGCAGGAAGGAGACGATTGCGGGGCCCCTCGCAGGGCGGATGCCATTCTAGGCCGAACATCAGGGAGATTGCGCACGAACTGACCAGTCAGCTGTTAGACTCCGTGCAGAAGAAGCTTCCCCAATGCATGCAAGACCGAGGTGAATGGGAGCCATTGTTCAAATCGAGCGCTTCTCGAAGGTCCCACGCCCCTCAAAAAAAATACTGTCAGAACGCAAGAATTGTCCATACGCGACCGAGTGATCTTGTGGACGGATGTCATGTTCGGTTACCCATGTTGCACCCCTCGGACGATTCTCCAACAACAGGCTGAGGACTCACGAACAAGAGAAGCTGGTCTTAAGATTGCTGCTTGTCGTCCAACGGTTGCCTTGCCTAGGGAAGCTAGGGCAGTGGCTTTTCACTTGCTGCAGCTTGCGAGTTGCAGCTGCGCAGTTCCGGTCGGTTTGCATGGTGTGGATTTTCAACGACGGCTTGAAGTCCTCCATACATAGGCCGCGTCGCCGCTTCCTAAATGAGAAGCTTCCTTCGCCCATGCTGGAACTACATGCACAAGCCATTCCACAATTTGATCGTCGTCGTGAGCTCCCTACACATGGTAAAGAATGCGGCGGACCATGGGTGAACCAGGCCTTGCAGGGCCAAAGTAAGTGACCGGGCTTGTCACGACATGTGCAACAACGCCTGAAACTACAGACCAGCTTCTCCAGCACGTTGGCTGACACGTTCTGTCTTGAGGGGAGTGGGACCGGACCCACTGCGCAACGATCTTTGTTGAGCCACGCACATGTGGAAACGCAGCTGTTACAGAAGCCCGTCGGGACTGTCACAGTGGCGCTGCACCAGTTGCTCGATTGCTGCAGCGAGCAGTCAGAACCGACCTGGCATATGGCGAAGCAGCCGGCATTGGCCTCTGTCTATCATGCCGGAGTCGGATGTGCTGTGAGCAAACAAACTCATAGAAGCGCTTCGCACAGCGCGAGCTTCTAAACGGTCATGCGTTTTTGAGCTCAGACGGGCACGCGCGAGGCTCGGTGGAATCGCAATAGCATGTATGTGCTGAGGATGCCCTAGGATGCCCACACGTCCAAGTGGCTGCCTCTTGCTTTCCTATCGGCTCGCGCGCGCTGAAAACAGCAGTCTCGGTCTCCAGTACCGCACAAGGAAAAAAGCTCCCAAGCCCACAGTCGCTGCTTGTCGGCATCTGCCCAGGATGGGAGTGGAGACGGAACGAATGTTTCAGGTTGCATCCTGAATGGCGATCAACAATGATTCCGGCCCCTTTCGAACATGGTGACCCTTCTGCTGGCACCGGCGTCTCAGCAATTCCCAGTGCCAACATCGACTCTGCGCTGTGATGTTTTTGACGGGAAAGTGCAGCCGTTGAACCGTGTTTTAAGACTGTTTCAGGAGCTTTCTGCTAATGACACGGCTTTCGACGTGACCTGACACGAGATGGCAATGTGTTGCACTTCAATAGCTTCCTTCATGCGATCGTCGCTATTTGCTTGCTAAATAACTTCACGCATGATTCGCGCATGATTCCAAGATGTTTGACCTCCAAGCTGCAACTGTCCGAGCTTCAGGCTAGATGCAACAAAATGCGCAGCAAGATACCAACGGTGCCTGGGCACAAAGTGTCGGGATGCCTGCATGCAAACACTGGGACAGAATCTAAGGAAAACGCTACCAATCCACATGCTCGCCGCAGGGATCTATCATCGGCGTGTTGTTGCTCAAACTGCTGAAGTAGTGGAGACATTGTTGCTTTGGTTTGCTGGCAAAGGCCTGCATCGAGTTGTCCTGCACAGCAGATTCGCTTCTATGAAGGTCCTCGTGTACATAGTGGTTCTGTTGACGAACGAGCCACGGTCCGCCAGCAAAGAGACGCGTTTTCTGAGATCTACAGCTTATTGAGCTGGTCTGCAGCCTCAGTCCGTGGCCAAAGCGACAGCCTTTTGGAAGCACTTACGCGCCTGTCGCACCTGCTATGAGTTCTGGCACTCCCCTGCTCGACATCCCAACTTGACTCAACAACCGCGAGCACCAGGATCAGATGTGTCTGTACGACAAGCGCCTTGGACAGCCCCATGAGTCATCCCCAGCAAGCTTCTCTTCCACACAGAAGGCTTTGATCGCTTCCTGGGGCAGACGCGGCAAGACCGAACATGCCAACAACAAAAAAAAACATCAACGCAACCGAAACGCAGCGCAAGCAACAGCAGGAGCAGCTTCGGCACCGCTGGAAATACGGATGCCAGATCATGGGCCAGATCGAATTGAGCTTATTGAAAACACGCAGCTATTCACTAATTATTGGTAGCACGTAAGCTTGCTAAACATAAAGGCACCTGCAGCAGCTAAAGCAAAGAGGTCGTCAGATCGAAACCACGGCAACACCAACATCATCATCATCATCAACAACAACAACAACAACTGCAATCCATACGATTTGTGGTTAGTAGTGATTATCTTGACATCATTGATATTAACATTGGGTATACCAGCACTAGTAATGAGTTACAAGCAAACCAAACACAAAAAAACTGTATGAACAACCATAATCAAAAACAAAAAGATGTCATCAACATCATAGCAAACCGTATCAAAGTGGAAAGTTGTTCATCATGTAACACATACAACAGTGAGAGTGAGAATATGGGCTTTCAAAACAAACTTCTGTCTTTTATGTTAGCGGAGGACGCGGATGTTACAAAAACCTTGCGCTTCTGATGTTGGAGAAGAACAAGGGTTTACTAAAAATCTTACATCTTTGTTGTTGGAAGACGACAATGGTTTACAAAAAGCCTTGTGTTTTTGTTGCTGCAGGGAGACAATGGTTTACA